CAGAGAAGCGGCAGCGCTTCACAGCTCAGCCGGAAGAAGGGGAGGGGGGCGGCAGCACCTTTCCCGACGACAGCGCGTCATCCGACGATGGCGGCGATGGCTTCAGCCCCCTAGAGCCGTTTGACCCGACAGCCAACAAGGCCAAGGAGCCATGGGAGGCCGATGATATTGTCATTCGGTTCTCCGAGAAGTACTTCAAGCACGAGAACCAGTGCAGGGGAGAGGCTCTAGAGAGCTGGCAGAAGATGCATGACTGGCCAGACAACAAGCCGGACGTCATGGTGGCACCGGTCCTGAACGATTTCTTGTCCCGTGCTGTCATCGAAAATGACAAAAAGCAGGGTGAGGTGATCGTTTCTCACGATAAAGCATTGAAAGGGGTACAGTCTAATCTTGTACAAGTGGCTTGCCCTTTAATGAATCTTTGGCAACTCATTCAACGTTGTGACAAGGATAGTTTTGAAGAGTTTCAAGTGACAATGAATGATTGTGCTAGTTCAGCCATGGCACTTCTGGGATCAGTGAATTCACAGTTGTCATTCACCCGACGTTCCTTTGTGTCCGAGTCTTCTCAGAAGAAGTTCAGAGACATCTTCAAGAAGCCTTCAGATCATCCCCAGTACCTGTTTCCACCAGATCTGGGCTCTAAGGCTAAAGAGATGGATTCAGAGGACAAGGCCGTCTCCGGGCTGCTGCAGAAGGAGGGGTCGACCAACAAGGCTTCAGGGTCATCCCAGAACTTCCGTCGAGGCGGCGGTGCCGGTTCAGGCGGTAACAGGGGAAGGAACACACGTTACTTTCCCAGAACCAACTACAGCTATGCAGGCAGCAGCTACCAGTCACGTCCATCTTACTACAACTCATCCCGGTCCTTTCGCTCCAAGCCGGCGGGGGACGGGAAGCGACAACAGAAGAAGTAAGCATCCCATCTACTACAGAGAGCGGGGCCCGGCGTTCGACCGAACTGCAAAGTGTACCTCATCCGTCTCCGCTGCCTCATGCCGGCAGGTTAGCCCACTTCCTTCATCAGTGGCAGCAGGTGACTACGGATCCATGGATCCTTCAATGTGTCCAGGGGTACAAGTTGGAGTTTGCGACAACGCCGCCAATTCAGGGACGTCTTCCACTGTCCCGACCGAGAGACGACGCACAAGCGGCAGTCATAGACGAGGAGGTAAGAACCTTACTCACCAAGGGAGCAGTTACAGAAGTTCCCTACCATCACACACAGTTTGTTTCAACTTTGTTCACAGTACCCAAGAAGACAGGCGGTCTTCGACCTGACGTTTCACTGGAGAGGAAGATTCTACCAGTTTCAGTGCCTACCCTTCGGCATCGCCACCGCACCTCGTGTCTTCACCAAGGTGATGAAGGTACCCATCGCACTTCTGCGTCGGCGAGGGTTTCGTCTGGTAGTGTATCTCGACGATATTCTAGTGATCGCTCACTCAAGAGAGATGTGTCGGAAGGTGCTTCAAGCAGCCATCGATCTGATCTCCAGTATGGGATTCGTGCCCAACTTATCCAAGTCGGTACTGGAACCGACTCAGCGTATCACCTTCCTCGGCTCAGGCATCGATTCAACACTGATGGTGATGTACCTTCCCGAGGACAAGGTGTCAGCTCTACAGCAGATGGCGGACACACTTCTGTCAACAGATTGCCCGGTGTCAGCAAGAGATCTTGCAGGGATCATCGGGAAGCTACAGGCCACAGCACCGTCGGTCTGGCACGCTCCACTTCACTTCCGGAATCTTCAGCGTCTGCTTATCAGAGCTCTGCGAACGTCAAGAGGTCACTGGGAAGGTCAAGTCTCTTTGACAGCAGCCGCCCGCACGGATCTGGTCTGGTGGAGAGACCAGTTGGCCAATGCGAACAGCCGACCGATTCTCGCTCCCTCAGCGGACTTGGAGGTGGAATCGGATGCGTCAGGTACAGGTTGGGGCGGCTTCTGCAATGGCGTCCACACCGGAGGCCGTTGGACAGAGAGAGAGAGCAGAGCTCACATCAACGTCCTAG